AATGACGCAGCGGATTGGTTTGTTTTTGAAGTCCATAAGATTCGTCTGAGAGTTGTGGAGGATCTTTACGATTTTTAAAGGTAAAAACTGTTGTCACATGAATATTTAGTGGGTCTAAATGTAACTTAAAGTCAGACCTTCATAAGTCTGAAATTAATTTATAAATGAATGAATGGATTTGTTCATGAGTAATCATGTCATTTCACTTCTGTCTCATGAGAGAGTGAGACGTGCTTTAGTGACTTCTGGAAATATCTTGCAGAAACAACTCATCAGCGGATTTCACGTGATAATTTGTCTGTACAAATGTATTTTTGAACTTTTACCTTGCCTCTTTGTGTTCTTATTCTTTGTGAATGTCCTTGACCTGCTGCTGTGGCACAACAGTTTCCCAACTGGGATCAATAAAGTTCATCTAGCTATCTATTTGGCTATGTTGTTGTGTGGTGTGCAAATGTGGCGGTTGGACTGGTTAAAGTATTGTGCGTATTTGGATATTTTCTGGTTCACTGTGTGCAATGGGCTCATGGACCTGTTCAATGTGTGAAGGCTATTTGTGTGTTTTGTGTGTGCGCATGTCTGATGTCTGTGCTCTGTCAAAGAGCCAAATGTTTAAATGATTGAATGTAATTTGTTAGTGCTGTTAAAATATTGCACGTGTGTGGATGTGTTCTTGTTCGCTGTGCCCGACAGCCTTTATGATAAATGTTCACCTTTTAGTTTCAGCGTGTGGGATCTAGTGGTTAATTTGCATCCAACTTGACACCCCAAGCCTCACCCTAGCTCCGCTTGCTAACTTGTAGAAGAACCAACAGACACAGATGTGTAGAAAAACTCTTAAACTGCAATCTCGCAAAACTTTCAAAAAAATATTTGGGTTTCAACCTTTCAAAGCCTTTTTTCCGTGTTTAGGGATTACGGCAGAATATTTATCCCTCAAAACGTCATGTAAACATCTTTATATTTCAAATAGAGGCTTCAAGTTTTTCTTTCTTTAAGTTATTTCTTTCTTTGTCATTTAAATGTAACATCAGAATCTGAGAGGCCTGTGCACTGGGACACTGTCAATATTTTTTATATAAGTGAATCCAAAGACTTGAATCTCCCATGACTGTTTTCATTCATTTGAACATGATGTGACTATTAGAGCCCCTTCCCAGAAAATATATATTAATGTGGTATTCCAGCTGGAAACAACAGTGGATTCATTTATATTTCGATTCTGATCTCACTCCATTTCACTGAATATTACAAGAAAATAAAGTAGGTCAAGTACAGATCTGAAGCTGAAAGTCAAACTTTCATGATTTATGTTGGACTTGGCTGCACGTCGAATCTGCAGGAATCACTTTGTTTAAAGACATGAGAGTAAAACAGTAAAACAAGAGCTCCAGACAGCCGTCATTAATGTATCGTTGGAGAATGTGAACTTGGACTAACGCTGCATGAGGTTCACCTGACACCAAGTGTTCGCTCGTCTTTGTTAAACTTTCTTTAATTTGAGCTTTGGCACTCACTGTCAAAAGTAAACCAGCCACCTGTGGCCAAATAACACAACCACACATTCGGATTCAGGTGAATAATTATTATTCATCATCATTTTAGACATATAAACAAACCCCCATATATTGAATTACATGAACTATGGATTATCACAAAGTACATGCCCACCCTTTCTTCACCTCACACACGGACTCTGCATCCCCCCCACCCTTCCCTCCTCTTTTCTTCTACCTGGACACACAGTCACTGTCCCCTCCCCATCAACACTGAACTCTAACATTCCCACAAACTATTTTGCACATATAGCAGTTTTCACTTTTTTTGGACCAGTCAATAAGCTCTTGTTTTTTTGCACCAATGTTGATTACACGACTGTTTTTCTTCTGTTGTTGCACTGCCATACCTACAGATCCAGTCAATTCTGTATCTGTATGTGCCTTAAGTTAACACAAACCCCCATATATTGATTACATGTACTATGAATTACCGCACAGTACACCTGGTGTAGGGTTAGTATTCAGAAATATTTAACACTAGAAACTAAATTGAAATGCTGTATGTTTTCCACACTTGGGACATTACAATAGGAAGAATAGTTATTTTCAATAGTGTAGCATCATGACTTTCAGTGGATAACCCAGACCCATTTAAAAAAATACAAAAACATGTTTTAATTTAAAAACCAAGTTGTATAATCAAGAACATTTCATAAGACTCACTCCTGTTTGGGTTGTTGGCATGGCAACCCACTTTAAAGTCATCAGTGTCACCTTGCTTTCAGACACAAACAACAAAGAGCAACTGTTCATTCCTCTGTGAATATTTGATTGGACAGATCAACTGGACTTGGTTGACTTCATTCACAAGTCTTTGTGAAAGTGTTGGATTAATATTCATCATTTTTGGCACTGGACATCTTTAACCATCACAGGGAGCAGAGACTTGACAGAGATGRATCCTGTTGATTCCCATCAAACACCCAGTCCTGTGGCTGAGGAACCCACTGTGGAGGCTCSCAGGGTTAGAGGAAGGAAGAGGAAGGACAGAGAAGATGCAGAGGAAAAAGGAAAGAAGAGGAGGAGGAGCAGTGAGCCGACTGAGACGTGTGAGGCCTCAGGAGACCTAGCAAGAGCTAAGTTCCTGGATAAATACTGGGAGTATGATCAGCTTGGCGAAGGAGGTTTCGGAGCCGTTTTTGCTGGCTTCCGCAGAGAAGATTGTTTCCCAGTAGCKATCAAACACATACAGGACAAACATTGCCTCCCACCATTGTGCCTACATGGGAAGGAGCTCCCTGCAGAGGTGGCCATAATGTTAAAACTAGCAGCAGAAAAAGATGACTCTGCAGGGATGTCAGCACCAATACAATTGCTGGACTGGTATGACCTGAGCCACGAGTTGATACTGGTGCTGGAGAGACCTGAATGTGCCTCGGACCTTGCTGACRACACAGCTGTAAACGGAGGGTCTCTACAGGAGTGGGAGGCCAAGAACATTATGAGACAGCTGGTGGACGCTGCTATTGGGCTGGAGAAGAGGCACATCTTTCACTCCGACCTGAAACTGCAGAATATCTTGATTG